TAAACTGACTTTCAGGGCATCTGTTTTTCACTTCCACATATGCAGCAAAGAAAGTGTGGAATATTTTCCACTTGGTCATTTCCTCCCTTGGTTCTGCACAACACCAGCATTTAGATGCCATTAAGTAGCCCAACCTTCTGAAAAAATCATCTAATGGCAACTTATTTCTCCACACCTTCCACATAAAAAAAGCAATTTTAAAGGGTAACCCCTTTATCCATATCTTCTTGTATGCTGTCATAGGCTCAGCTCTTTTTCTCAAGTAATCCCAAGCTGTTTTTACAGAGAAATATCCTTTAGGTTCCAGCATCCAGTTAGATACATCAAGTACTCCATGTGCTGTAGGTGGCTTAATGTTTTGATGTATATGTTCTGCATATTCCTCTGGTAAAGCCTCATACAGTCTTTCTGCATTCCATGTATCTCCTTCTACCACATCCCAAACATTGTGTACAGATTCATCAATACCAAATTCCTGTGGAACCAAGAAGTATAGTGCCCCTAAACCAGTCCAGTTATCATACCAAAATAAAGAGGAACCCATTCTTGGATGCCATATAATCTGATGTTCTATCAAATCTCTACACTCTAACATTTTTCTCCACACATGAGACCCTTCTCTCCATGGTACAATCACTGAATTTAGCTTTTTACAATATTTCTGACTCATGAAGGAACTCCAAAGGCTAGGCTTAGTTCTATAATTCCACCATAACTTGCAAAATAAGGCTGTTGCTACATCATGAAGAGACCTAAACCCAATCCCCCCTTCTTCTTGTGGCATACATAAAGTAGACCAAGATGCCCAATGTCTGTTACTGCCTGTAATTGAACTACTCCAAAAAAATTGGGCAAATATTTTATGAATCCTATTGATTACATAAGCAGGAGGGTTGACAGCTGATAATAAATGAATTGGCATGCTCTGCAACACATGAGCAATAAGTACTGCTCTGCCCCCTATTGATAACATTTTACCTTTCCATGATTGTAGTCTGTCCAGTATCTTGGTAATCATGGGTTGGTAGTATTCCATCTTCCTCCTTGAGTAGAATATAGGGCACCCTAGATATATTATAGGAAACTCTTGCCTCTTTATTCCTGTGACCTGCTCCACTTTATCTGCTACTTCAGCATCTGTCAAATGATGTAAGTATACAGCTGACTTTGCCTTGTTGACCAACTGCCCTGAAGCTGATTCATATGCATCAAGAACCTCCATGATGAGCCTAAGTGATGTAGCATCAGATGATGAAAAGATAATTGTATCATCTGCATAAGCTAGATGATTAATCTTTGGGCTCCATTTAGGCATACCATAACCACAGAAGTATAAGTTTTGATGAAGTGCATTAAGGCCCCTTGACAATGCTTCTGCTGCTAGAATAAACAAAGTAGGGGACAGTGGATCCCCCTGTTTCACTCCCCTTGAAGATCTGAAGAAACCATGAGCTTGACCATTTATCAATACTGAGTACCAATTATTAGAGACTATGCCAAAGACCATGCCTATAAATGTTTCTGAAAATCCCATTTTCCTTAAAACCTTTGTCAGGAATAGCCAGGACAATCTGTCATAGGCCTTGGTCATATCTAGCTTTATGATGACATTAGGACCTGCCTTTGTCCTTAGTCTCATGTCTGTGACAATCTCTTGTGTAAGTAGAATATTTTCCACTATGCTTCTTCCTTTAACAAATCCAGATTGTTCTTCTGATATTAAGTTAGGTAGCAGTCCCACCACCCTATCATGAATCACTCTTGAAATCACCTTGTTGGAGAAATTACTGAGACTGATGGGTCTCAAATCAGAGAATGTGCATACCTCTTTCTTCTTTGGAAGCAACACCAAGTTTGTGTGAGTCACACATTTTGGTAGATCATGCCCATTAAAGAATGCTCTAACCATATCATGAAGGTCCCCCCTATAATATCCCAACAGGACTGATAGAACTTACCTGTAAAACCATCTGGCCCTCCAGCACTATCTCCATTTAGTCCAAATACTGCAGCTTTTACCTCTTCTAAGGATGGCTGTTTTGTTAATTCCTGGTTTTGATTCAAATCTACCAAAGAAGGAACATGCTCTATTATTTCAAAAGCTGTTGGTACTGTGGTTTCAGAGAATTGACCTTGGAAGAATTGAATTGCCTCTGTAGCTATTGCTGCCTCCTCATCTATCCAAACACCTTGACTGTTTTGAATTCTGGATAGTTGCAATTTCTTTCTTCTACCTCTTACTTGAGCATGAAAGAACTTAGTGTTCCTATCACCATCTTTAAACCATGACATGCCAGCCTTCTGTTTCCAATATTTTTCTTCCAGAGCTAGAAATCTAGTAAGTTCTGCTTGTACCTTTTGTAACCTCTGCCTGTTTAATCTTGTAGGATTGGCTTCAAATTCTGCTTCATGAACCTTAACCACCTCCTCCATGCTTGCTATCTTTTGAAAAATGTCTCCATATGTTTTTTTGCTCCACACAGATAATGCCTTTTTTAACTTTTTTAACTTGTGATTGAATAATGTGTAAGGATTAGCCCAGAAATCAGCCTTCCAGTTTTCCTGCACCACCTCTTTAAATGTTGCATGCTCCACCCAAAAATTTAAGAATCTGAATGGTTTCTGCACAGGAGGGGTCTCTATATCACATTTTAACTGCATTGGACTATGATCTGATCCAATTTTAGGAAGATGCTGCACTTCTAACCCTGGGAAGGTCTGCTGAAACTCTGAATTAGCTAGACATCTGTCTAATCTCTTGAAAATACAGTCTTCTTCTGCCCTGCCATTCCACCATGTAAAGATACTGCCTTTAAATCCAAGATCACTCAGGTTACATGTATTTATGCAATGTCTGAAGTCATCAACTTCATTGATATGAACTGGAAGTCCCCCAAATTTCTCCTCTTCATCCCATATGACATTAAAGTCACCTCCAACTAACCATGGTACTGTCATGTCATTCGCCATATAATACAATGAATCCCACAGTTCAATCCTTTCAATGGCATCACATTTAGCATACACCAGTGTAAGGACTATTTCCACATGATTTTCTGTGTGAAACAGCCTTAATGTTAGTTGCTGAACCATATTATACATTATTGTAACTTCATATACCTCATCAATAAAAGCCCATATCTTATTTGATTCATTAGCAATTGCCTGTGCAAAACCTATTCTGCTTCTATATCTTTCCAGTGTTCTCATTTGTTGCATAGGTTCCATCAAGCCAATAAAGTCATAGTGATGTTTCCTGTGCATTTTGATCAACCTTTCAAAAGCTTGTTGGGTATTGACTGACCTTATATTCCAGAATAGAGCATCCATTATTGAGCAAATGATTTAGATAAGGTCCTCCTTGTCTGAACACCTCCTGAAGGTGCAACTGTTTCTTTTTGTTGCTTCTTTTTGTTCTTTGCTGCAGATTTAACCTTTTCAAGAACTCTAGGAGATAAGTCACCCTGCCTACCTATGTTCTGAAAATTTTGTGCTGTTGATTCTTCATCCATATCATGCCCTGTTCTGAGACCTCCTCCTTTTGTATTCTCCATTTGTTGCTCATTGATTTTATCTAATTGTTGCTGATGGTGTAAAATCAATGCATGTTCTTCCCCCTTCTTTAGAATCTTTATTTGAACCTGTTCCAATGGAACAGTGACTTCAGCTGCCTCTGTTTGCTGTTTGGACTGCAATTTTTCTTTTTGCTGGTCATCCAAAATGAAAATCTGTACTGCATCAGCCCCTGTTCCTCCTGGATCCACTGAATCACTACCTCTTCCTTCCCCTGCTTTTCCAGAAGTAGGTAGTTGTTCCTTCATGCCTTTTGTATCCTTTATTTCTGTTGCCCCATTTTTTTCCTTTGGTTGTATGATATCATCTTTGCTGGTAGTTGTATTAATGGACTTTCATTTATGCTTTGTTCTTCTTCCTCTTTGTCTTCATACATAGGTTCCTCATCATGTTGTGCACCTATTGATACTTCATCTTCATCAGAATCAATCTCTCTTTGTTCTGACCATAATTTACCCCCACTCCACTGAATTTTTTCATTCAACTTTTGATGTAAATTCTCTTTTGTCTGGATTTCTGGCTTGTTAGATAGGTCCCTATCTACCAAAGTATCCTGTGATGGAATGTCCTGACAAGATGTGTTAATTCCTACAAGGTTATCCACTTCATTGCCCTGAAAAGCTCTTTGTACCCATGAGCTGTGGATTCCTTGTTCTCAAGTATTCCATTACCTTTTCTGTTTGCTACACCTCCTCCATTAGTTGATCCAATACCAGCTGAATTCATGTTAAAATCTAGTGCTGCAGGATTCAATACTCCTGCTGCATTACCTTTATTCTGTAACAGTTGTTGTACTGTGTCTTGTTGCTCTGTAACTGGACTTTTAGGATTTGTTTGAGCTGTTGCTCCTGTAGCTGCCTGACTATCTTTATCAACCTGCTCTTTTCCTGCATTGTCATTGGCCCTAGCTTGCTTTCCTCTTTTAGCAGGAGAGGATAGATCTACATGACTAATTTCCTGTACCTCCTCAATGATTGCCAATTCTTTACCCTGCACATCCCCTGATCCTGCTTCTTCCAATGCTGCAAACTTATTTGATGTCTGCACCTGTTTACTGTTGGGAACTACTGACTTCTTCTGTTGTACTGGTACCATTTCTTGGCCACTTTTAATCACTCCCTCAGTCAGATTTTCTTTTGCTTTTCCTCTACTGTCCCTTACCTCTTTCCATTGAGTACTTGAATTTCCAACAACCTTTCCACTTGATAAGATCATTAACGGGGCTGATCCTCTACCTTTCTGATTATTAACTCCCTTTTCCACTGTTGTATTAACCTTATGTTCTGCAGTATTACTTACCATTAGTTCAGGATGTATCCTCCAGCATTCCACCATGTCATGTCCTTGCAACTTGCACTCCTTACAATACTTTGGAAGGTAGTCATACTTTATAGTTACCCATTCAGTTCTTACCTCTCCTGAAGCCTCATTCACTATGTCCATTCTAACCTTCT